GTGAATGTGAGGGTAGACCAGCTTATAACTCAAGTCTAACGTGCAAGATTTTGTGTGTGTGTGTATGCATTCTGACCTGGTTTATCATAGTTTATGTAGGCAAATGCAAGACTTGACTCTTTCCCTGATGGTATAGAGGGAGGTGCAACTTGTCTGTGTGTGTGTAGAAGGAGGGGGGTTAGGGTCATAACTAGAAGTCTGTGGGTGCAACGGTATAAAAAGTCCCAGTGTTTGGGGGGGGGGGGGGTTGGTTTTATTCCTAAAAGTGAAATCCTTTTTTAGGTCACTGCTTAAAAAGGTAAAGTGTTTTTTTTTGTTGATTTCATTTTTATTTTAAATATTGTTGTTTTTTTTGGTTAGTAAACATCAAAGTAATTTCCTAGTGGTCATAAACTGTCAAATTTTCAAATTATATATATTTTTTTTTGGTGCTATTCTTAAATTAAGGAATAACACCAAAACCCCAATGCTTCATCTTTAAAGAATATTAAAATTAAAGTGCTTTGACTTTTTAAGAACGCACAAAATTATGCTTTGATGGTTCAGAAATAGCACAAGGAAAAGGTTTTGTACTTTCTCAAGAGCAGACACAAAAATAGTTTTGACTGTTTATAATCAAACTTTGTGTGGGTGTTTTTTTAATTAAGAAAAAGACAAAACTTTTATTGTAGTGTTATTCTTTAAAAAATCATTTTCAAATTTTTATTTTGTGACTAGAAATTCAAAGGATTTTCCTGTGGTCATTAACAGTCAAAGCATTTTCGGTGAGATTACTACAAAGTTCAAGCATTTTTCTATGGTATTTTCTAAAAGTCAAAGCATTTTTATTTGGTTTCATTCCTACAGAAGTCAATGTTTAGTGTTTTTCTGTGTTCTTCTCATTGAAGTAGTAAGCGGTCTGGCAAGGGGGCAGGGAAGGAGGCGTATGAGAAAAGCGAGCTGAAGCATGGAGACAAAATCTTTCACAAGTTCTTAAAGAGACTGCAGCGCTGTCCCAAACAGTGTGTCAGGTGAGTGTAGGTAGTCAGTCTGTGTAGTCACTGTGTCGATCGTGTGTGTGTAGTCACTGTGAAATTCATGTGTAGTCAGTGTGTCAGTTGTTTGTGGTCACTGTGAAATGTGTTAGTCAAGTTTGTCAGATCTGCAAAAGAATGGGGTTTTATCTTGGATAGTTTTTCCAGATTTTTTATTTTCCTCATCCAACACGCCCCTACAGATGTTTTGTTTTTATGCTTAACACTTATGACATTCTTTCTCACCCCTAACCTTATCCTTTTTGTTACCCCCGGGACGATGCTACTGACAGAAGTGTCTTTAGGCCATTCCCAAAAGGGGGATATAAACATGTTCTTATGCACAGTAGAACTGTAAATGAGCCGATTCATCAATGTCATGCTCATTACTGTGCCTGAACTGCATGCGGGGAACTGCTGCTTTTTCTTTCCTTATCCTTACTATCGTCATTTTCCCTCTACTTCTTTTGTATGTTTGTCACTCTCTTGTGACCTGCTGCTATTTATGGGGTGCCTTGATAGTCGAAGCAGACTTTGTGCTGTTGAAGCTAGAGAGGTGAGCAGAGTAAGCCTGATTCCCTGTATGGACTTCTCAGTTGACATCCACCCCTTGGCGTTCATATGACCTTATGTAGTTGCGAGCGCTGTATAAGCTCTACTAAAATCATACTGCCCATCACATTCTAATCCTAACCTTATCATTTATGCTTAACCCCCATAACATTCAAACTCTAACCCAATTGTTTACACTTTTTCTCCATAACTTTCAAGCACTAACCCAATCTTATTAGAAACAGATGTTAGTCTTGAAATCCTTCCTGTCAAATCGCCTTGTTTGTATTGACAGTGGTATACAGGACAACTGCCTAAAAATTCTGCCACTGACTAAAAGTCAAATAACTCAAATAATTTCAATTTATTTAAATCAGAACTTTGATGTTGTTAAATTCAACTCTGCAGACAGGTTGTGTTAAAGTTTTTAAAAAATTGTACAAGGGTCTTTGAAATGGTTGCGTCTTTTAAAGAAAAGAAGCACCAAAATGAGCTTTTAAAATATGAAGACATAAAATTCTAACCAATGCTCAATGAAAGTTCAGTGACATTTGCATTAATTCTGAAACTGTCGCTATCACTGGTAACATATACTTGTTCCAGGTATGAACGTGGAGGCCAGCCTTTGTTGATCCGAACCCTGGAGGCTCAGAACGTAGTCCAGTCTTGTGCTCAGTGTGGAGGTCAGAGGTCATTTGAGCTGCAACTTCTACCTCCGCTGGTTTGTGCCTTGAAGCTGGAAGATGGTGAGGACTGTAAAAAAAAAAATGTTTAATTCGGGGCATAGTACAAGTACATCTTACAGAAGAATATGTGAGGCAGCGTGGTGGAATCAGGCTCTCGTCAATTTTTGGGCATGTAGAGTTATTGGTATCAACATAAAGCTTGTTCACCAGTCTTTTTTTGGATGAAAAAAAAATATCCATCTATCTTGAATACAAGTCGAGGTATTTGCGAATGAAGGAGTTGGGGGTCACCTCTTTTCAGAGGTAAAATTAATGAGAAAATGGCCGCCAAAGATTAGTTATTTCCTTAGCTTAAGAGTCCGTGGTAACTGAAAATGTTCATTGTTTTTGCCTTTAATCAACATTTTTCAGAAAAATCCAAACAGAAATGAGTTCTTAAATGGACATGAAAGGTGTTGAGCCAAAAAACAAAAAATTTATAAAAATACACAAACCTGTGGAAAAGTGCCAGTTTCTTCATTTTGATTATTTTGACGAGAGCCTGATTCCACCACGCTGTCTCACATATATCCCCACTAGGGAGGTCTTAGCATATTGACTGAGTGTGAGTTGTGTTGCCTGTTTTGACAGTGGTGGACTAGTGTACTATGAAGTGGGTTGTTGGCGGGTACTCTGGTGTGGTTTGCTACTTTTTTCCAATCATCTATCTATCCTTTGTATCTCTCCTCCTTTTTTTGTGTTTACTACTCTCTTGTAGCACCTCTAACCCTCTGCACTTATTTGACTTACTTACAGTCCAACTCGGGTAACTTGAGTTCGTCAGGGATTGGAAATAGTGTTAGAAATTTCCGTTCTTCGTCATGTCCGTGAAAGCCCCAAATACAAAGAAATAGAGAGGAAGTCAAGGGAGGCAAAAAAAACAACCAACAACATAAAACAATTACCGTGGTTAGCTCCCTTGATGAACGTGTTGACCGTGTGAAAGCAAGAAGATGAATGAAAGTAGAAAGCATTAAAATCTCAAGTGTGCAGTGTGCACATGCTTCTTGCTATCTGCACTGCGCGCGTCCCACAGCATGATTGAATGCATGGCGAGCCAGACATGCGGTGCGGTCAGCATCACTCCCCAACCCCCCTTCCACATCCCCCTTCCTCCAGCCTCTCGTCGTGAGACAAGGACCACGTTTTGGCTGTAAAAATAACAAAGAAACACCTACCCGCGGCCGGAAAGGCTGTAAAGCCAGGTCTTTAGTTGAGAATGCGAAGGAGATTTGTTCGAGGTTCGAGTATTGTGTGTTCCGAGTGTTCGGGAACTCCGTGAAATCAATACTTGGAAAACATAGGGACTGAAACAGGACCGAGCATTATGTTCGAGAGACCCGAGAATTTGTCATTTTCCTGTTCGAGATTCGTGGACTCTGTATGACCTTATTGTGTTGCAAGTGAAGTGCAGTAAAACGCTTACTACTGTGAGCCAAAAAAAAAAAAAAAGAAAGAAAACATGGAGAGTAGGTTGAGAGGAATGATGATGAAACAGCCTTAAAAATTTTTTCATTAATTAACATGATTTTTCTAAAAAAAATTTGAATCATGTGAAGGGAAGTTACGATACACAGAATACAAAAGGGAGGAAAAAATCCTAGATTTGAATTCCTTCATTTAAGATGAGTTTTGTTTTTAATGCTTTGTATCAAATAAAGTCTGCACTATGGGTAAATTATCTATCTACTCTACACCCCTCCTCCCTTCTCAGGTTCTCTGTCCCCCATTGAGTTCGGGACGGTCTTGGTCTACACCTGTGACAACAACTGCTGGACACACGATGACCCCAATCTTGACTTTGTGGAAGAACAGGTGATCCTACAGGCAGACCCTGATGACCATCTGTATAGATAACCAGTAACCAGTTAGAATTGCTCTGTGATATGACTATTAAAATGTGTTTGTCTCCCTGTCCATGACAAGTCTGGATTATTCTTTTGTGTTGAAAATAGCTTCTATACAGTCATATGTTTAAATAATAAAAAGCCATTGATTTGAAACACAAGACATATATACTCCTAGACTGTTCATTGTCATGGCTGCTGCACTTCATCCTTCGTGAAAATTTTCCATCGAATCGTGCATACCATGGTCAAAGCCATTACACCCAAATAAAGAGCAAATCACCAGTCTCACAATAGTCAATGCACAAGGCACCCAACCCCCCTTGCCTGTCAAATGGTGCATTCCATGGTAAAGCAGAAATACAACAGGGTGCACTGAGTGAGATGAAGGAAAAGGGACAGAGAGCAAAAAGAAATGGTAAACAGATAAAAAGAAATATTGCACATTAAAGAGTATGGTTGAAGTAGAATGAAATCCATTTTCTTATGGTTTAGAGACTTCAGTTTAATCCGTGACCTCTAAAAACAAGTGAAAAGTCAAAGTGTGTTTCTCAGGCATTGGTGAAAAGAACATTTTGACCTTTGGGGCGTGTGGGGAGCGGAGCAGGACAGATTTAAAGTCTCTGGCTTCATGAGTATGGTTGTCATTCATTTTCAGTCAATTTTGGAAACATTTCGCTACCTCAAAATCACAAAGTTCTATCTGCTCAGTTCCTAGTTTTGAGAAATTTGGCCTCAAACATCTTGAGTTTCACATCAAGGTAATAATAATAGTAAATAGCATTTGTATTTTTCACATCATGTCAAGCTTTTTTTTAATGCAGTCCTATTTAATATCTTGATAACGACTCCGAATATTCTTATTATTTTGACAGAGCAGATAGAATATTTGGTTTTTGATCTCATGGTATGAGTACTTCAAAACGGCCAAAAATGTCAAACAGAACTTTGTAATTCTGAGGTAGCGATTTATCCGAATTTTTTGTCATACATTTTTAAAAGTAAAAAGCTAGTGTTGGAGACGGTTTTCAACCAGTTTATCGTTGGTATAAATAAAAAAGAAAATAAAGAAGGTAACTCCCACAGAAATTGATGACACCTTTCACCTTGTTCAAGGGAAATGGTGTGTACCGTTGTCCAAACTTTCATTGGCAAGCAGCATGGGTGGTGCCACTGACTGAAATGTCTTTTACTGTTCCCAAAAGGGGGGGGGGGGCATTAACTTGTTCTTATTTACAGTAAAATTGTAAATGGGCTCATTCAACAAAGTCATGCTTATAATATAACTGTGTCTGGACTGCAACAGGGTACTGCTGCTTTTTCTTTGCTAGTCCTTACTATCGTCATTTTTGCTCTACTTCTTTTGTATGTTTGTCACACTCTTGTGACCCGTTATTTCCCGGGTGCCTTGATAGTTGAAGCGTAAGCAGACTTTGTGCTGTTGAAGCTAGAGAGGTGAGCAGAGTAAGCCTGATTCCCTGTAAAGACTTCTCTGTTGACATCGACCCCTTGGCGCTCATATGACCTTATGCACTTGCAAGCGCCGTAAAACCTCAACTAAAACTAAAAAGAACCTAAATGGGTTCTGAAAAGCTTGAAGCATCTTTATTGCTTTGTCTTGCTACTGTTTTGAGCAACTTGTGTGGTCAGTCGTTACACTCTCAGTGTTGGATACAATCTAACAGTTTTTATCAAGCCTTGTTGTAAAGACGAACATTTACCACAGATGCTAGCATTACATGGGCTTTTTTGCACGGCTGAACACTATCCAAACCTATATAAATTTATGATCTTAATCCTCGGAGACAAAAGAAACACGAATAATTAAGCATGTACAGTGTAGAAAACTAGAAAACACAATAAACTCAACAAGGGGTTTGTCATGTCTAAATGAAATTCTAGTTTGTCCAATACTATCATATTTCTGCGATCTTGATCTTGGGAAAGAAAGTTGGTACCGTGTATGGCCTCCATTGGTTGCTATTACCGTTCTTCTTCTTGAACCAAAAGAGTTCTCGGGGGCGTGTGTTTGCCGGCCTGAGATCTGTATCCAAGTGTCCCAAAAGTGCTCTATGGGGTTAATGTCAGGTGAACGGGATGGATGAGACAAAAAAGAATGAAGTTGGTCTGCTCCAGGGACTGCTGTGTTAGTTGTTTAGTTGTTTGTTGCATAAGCAACCAATCAGCGCATTGTATTTTTCGAATGAGGCCAACAGAACAAATTCAGACTAAAACTTTCTGTTCAGACCAAGCTTTATTGGAGCTCGTAAACAGTACTCGCCAACTGAAACGTTTGCTAGCGATTTAACGACGATGAAAATTTCACGTTTCTTTTGCCTCTGAATATCGTCGGCAGAGAATTCTAACCGTCTAACTCAAAATTTTCTCGAATTGCTTTTTTCCTTAAAATAGATTGACATAACGAATGGCTACG